AAAGTAAGCTTCAGTCTTTGGACTCAGTGGGTGAGAACGACATTGTGCCTTCTCTAGGTGTGGTGTGTGGCACAAAATCTTTGTAGCTTTTGAGGTGTTTTGAGACTAAAACAGACCTAGAGCTTGCAGAATGTGTATTCTTGGGCTGTGAACTCATCAACATGTGTTCCCACTTAACATTTTGATTTGAAGGAGCTTGTCAGTTTAAAAATAAAAAAGACAATCAATTAGAGAAAATAGATATAGATATTTTTAAATAAAACCATTGGCATTTTACTTGGACTTGGTACTTTGGTTTTTCCAAGCTGAATTTAGTAAAAGAGTTTGAATTCTTTTTTCCCATTATTTTCATGTGTCTGCATCTAAACCAGTGATTTTCAACCTTTAGCATGCATCTTAGAATCACCTGGTGGGCTTGGTAAGACATTAGTTGTGGGCCTTAACCCCAGAGCCCCCAAATTGGCATTTCTAAGTTCCCAGGTGATATTCCTGCTGATGGTCCAGAGGGTTACACTTTGGGAATCTCTGCTTTAAACTGAGGAAGTGTCACCTGGGGAGGAGAGGGGCTCCCTGGGCATGAAAATTTGAATTGCTGGTTGTAGATGCTATGTCTGAGCATACCTCACATAGTGAAGCTGCTAATCAATACTTTATCATTCCACAAACGTTTTTTTTCAGCTCCTGCTGTGTGTGCACAGGTGTGAAGGACTATAGCCAAAGTACTTTTATCAGCATGTATGAAGTCACTGTCCTTATTTTTAAGATCTGTGGTTTCTTGGAAGTAGTTTGAAGGCTGAGAGAGACCTTTGATCTGTGGTGTAAATCAGATAGGCATGGGCCAGGAGAGCAAAAGCCCCATTTTCTCTTTGGAGAGACTTAGGGTGTGGTCTGCTGATGGCCAGATCTTCCTCATCTTCCACCATCCATGCCCCTGCAGGGCAGATCCGCATTGTCTATGTGACCATCTTTATTACTCTTGGGGACTGAATTAGATCACAGGTGGCCCAAACCTCTTTTCACAATGAAGAATCATATTGGATTTTTATTCTGTTCAGTCTTAGTCTGTATTGCAGTCTTCTTCCCAAACTACCTCTTTAAAGTGATTCTTCCTGTGCTGGTCTGTTAAATCCTGCCCTTCTTGGTGCTAGAGCCTGCTGTGCCTCAGGGCAGAGAAGACCAAAAAAAAAAAAAAAAAAGCAGCTATCTCATAGACCTGTGTTGTGGTTTTGAAGTTTGTACTTTCTCTGTGGCTGCCAGTTAAATATTGGAGAGTGAGGAATGTGTACTTCTATGGCTTTGAACCAAGAGGGTTATGGCCTACTGGATTTAGGTTAAAATCCAAGCAGCAGCATTTAGAGCTTTGTGCTTTCCTGTCATTTCATCCCCTTGTAGTGCTGATACTTGTAGGCAAGAGCCGTGAATGACAGGAGCCCAGCATTAAGGTGTAAAAGCTTCTTGTTGTGTCAGAAGCCAAGGGATGATAAAACCTGAGGAATATGTAAGAATCAATGCCCAGTAGTGACCAACATGAGCTACTATAAACTATAAACTATAAACTTCCAAAAACAAGATCTTATCAGTAAGTGAGAAAAATCAAGGCCAAACCAAAAAAAAAAATCAAGGCCAGTTAAGACAAAGTACTTTGAATTTTAAATTCACCAAGAGAAACCTCAGTTTGCGACAGGTCTTCGGTGTTCAGGGTAGAGAAAATCTCCTAAAAAGACTGAATTTTAGAGATCCTCAGACTAGGTTGCCAAAGGATAAAGCTAGGGAAGGTGAAAAAAGTTAAAGCTTAAATTCCATCACTCTAGCTTTGTCTCAGTGGTGTTCACTTCTGTATCCCTGTTCACTCAGAATTTACTTCCTGATATCTTTGACTTTTGGGATCTAAACTTCTCTTTTCCTCCTTCCCTGTTCATATCTGGAAGACTGTATCCCCATTTCTTTGACCGTTATTACTCTGCTCTCCTCTTCCCTGTCTTTGTCTTTTCTCCCACATGGTCTAGTGGGTTAAATCTCCCCGGCTATCCTGGTGTAGTGGGCATCGCTACACGGTGAATATAAATACCAGTCAGAAGTTGGTATTTATAAACCTGTAGAAACCTAAGTAGGCTTCAAGAAGCAACTAGAATTTCTCTTAAGACTGGGTAAAGGGCTACCTATTACCCTCCCCAGAGTTATAAAATTGTAGGTGCTGCTCCAGTCTGATTGAGGAACACTCAACTCCTACAAATAAGGAATCCACTTGTCCACCAGGAGAAAAGAAATTAAGAGTCTCTTCACTACTGCTATTTAGGGTTGCCCAGAATTCCCTTTCAGTCTGTGGGTACGTAGGTTCCTGTCACAAGGGGTTCCTTTTAAAGAGCTAGGGGTGAGGCAGGGGGTACATGTTCATGTCATTTAATTTTCATCCTGCCCCTCCAGCTGCTTCTTCAGAAGATATATCTAAAGATACAAAGTTTGCATTTGATATAATGCCTTAATCATTGGGTCTACAATTCATGTTGACTGTCTTAGATTGTAAGCTCCTGGAGAGCAGTATTGCTGTAGTAGGGATGTTTTAACATGTCATGTGCAAAAGAACAAAATAAATATTTTGATTTTATTTTACTTCTGTGCATGTCTTCCTATCCAGGATGATTATCAGAAGCTGGTCCTTTTCTTTACAGTCTGCACAGAGCTTGGCCATTACCATTGGTTTTTAAGATGTCAGAGTCTCTCAGATGGCATGATCCCATCATTTTCATCTCACTGTCCTCCCACAAGCTACTACATGTCACAAGATCTACCTGACCCTTTGCAGGAAAGAAGTGGTCTTCATGAAGCTGCAGGTCTTCCAGTACACGAAGATTTCTGCATTTAAAAGTTAATTTTTGTCACCTCATAATCCCTTTGCTGTGTTTATGCCATCAGACAGGAGGCTCTGAGCTATTTCCAAAGTTTATTACCAAACTTGTTATAAGCATTGACCTTGTCTATCCCTTTAGAAACACCAGAATGTTGCTGTTATTTCCAATTCCTGCTGGCCCCCAGTGGGCATCTTACCGTTCAGTACCACGCCTACTATCTTCCTTTAACGTAATATGAGCATGCACTTTGGAGTCAATGGGTTTGAGTTCAGCCTCCACCACTTACTAACAAGGTGACTTTAGGAAAAATTATTCTAACAATGGGTAAACCTTAGTTTTCTTATTTAGAGGAAGGCAATAATAGCATCTCATTACATTAGGAGCAATATGATTAAGGTACTCCACACTAAACAGGCATCCAAGGCATAGTATGTCTTTTGTTATCGACTGATTATATTGTTCCATCAGTTTTCAAGAAAAAGAAAGGTTCTCTCTTCTGGATCAGGTTAGTATCTCTTTCTAAGTACCTGACCAACTTCCTCAATTTGGGGATTCTAGAACTGAATAGCTCCTAAGACAGAATTGATGCATGTGATTTCAGTTGTGCTAAAAGATTTACAGTTGCAATAAGCCCTAATTACTAATGTAGTAATTATCTCATTGTTTATAAAATGGTGTGGAAATTCCATGAGACCTGAAAAAAGCAATCTCTCATTCTATCCAATTATCCCCCCTTTCTTAGACTGAACTGAGGAAGACTAAGAAGGCAAAGTAGCAAAGATGTCTAGAAGCATGGGTTCAGAAGGCAGACCGCCTGTAATCAGATCTCAGCCCTACCACTTAATTGCTGAGCTGTAGTTTCACCTCCTGTGATAGAATAAAGTACCCTCTTCATAGGAGTTAAAATTAGTAAGGTAATCTGCATGAAGCATCTGCTGCTGGCTATTAGTAGAGATTGGGAAGATAGGAACCACAATGTTTTCATGCTTCTGTGCCAATTCATGCTGGAAAGTCATAATGACAAAGACGAAGGCAGAGTCTTGTTCCTTCTTTCTATTTATTTGTGGGGTTTTTTTGCTTGGTTGGTTGGTTGGTTTGGTTGGTGATTTTCTCCCTTCCATAAGGCCTTTACAGGCTTCGATAGAATATAACTTGATTTCCCTATCTGCAGCCTGACTCTTGGGGTTTCACTATTGTTTTTAAGACAGTAAGGTAACAGAACTGGTGAGTCCTACATAAAACTGGAAGAACAAAGGTTTTGTAAGGATGTCTGGAGTAAAAATGGAAACTATCTCATTCTACCCCAGCATATCCTATATTAATGTTACTCAGACTTAAACTATCCCCAAAAGACTGGGTAAAACCCATCAATTATCTTTACAACTGATGATTCCAAAGGTGGTTAATACCTTTGGAATTAATGGTTCCCTGCCATTGAATTTAATGTTGAAATTAGGGCACGATTTGAAATTACCCTCTGAGCTGCTCTTGGATGGGTTCCCACTGGAAAAATTCTTAGGCAAGTTGAGAAAGGAAGAAAAATTGGAATAACAGTAACACTCCAAGGAGAATCCCTAATGTTTTGCTCCATTGCCTGTCCTCCCAAAGTTGCACCCAAACCAGTTGCAAAGCCATGCTATAAACAGATCTGGCACCTACAGCTTGTTCAGTTGACACACAAATCTAATCTCTGTGAGGGCAGGGGTCTTTTTGGTTTGTTTTTTAGTTGTAAATGGACAGAATGCCTTTATTTTGTTTATTTTTATGTTGTGCTGAGGATCAAACCCAGTGCCTCATGCATGCTAGGCAAGCGCTCTGCTGCTGAGCTACGACCCCAGCCTCGGGGGTCTTTTTTGATTGGCACATTGTAGGCATTCAATCCTTGTTAAATAAAAGAGTAAAAACAAAGTGACAGATCAACCAGAAGATTGTGTACTCTGGGTCTCTAAGTAAAGACTGAAAGGATAATTTTTTTTCCCATACTAGGGATTGTTAACTAAGTGTCCCAGACAGGCCTCAAATTTGCAATTCTCCTGCCTCAGACTCCCAAGTCACAGGGATTATAGATCTGCACAATCACACCCAGCAGCAATTACCTTTTAAAACCCAGGGTTTAGCAGTGCCACTGTGCTTCATCAAGGATGTCTCATGTTTTTCCAAAAATATATTTATTTTTAAAAACAAAAATCAGATAAGTTTTATAGAGTCAAATTTTCCAGAAACAAACCAGAGTTCGGATTCCAGCTCAGAGTGAAAGTCAAACATCAGTAATTTCACGCAGAAGTGATTTCTTTCTACAGGAGATAAAACATTCTGCTTGACTGCAAGCACTCAATTCTCTAAATCTGATTGTACTTCTGCCATCATTTTATTCCATTCCAGGGCTCTGGCATGCAAACGAATCCATCTCTAAAATTCAAAATTTCCAAATTGAGATGAGCGATTGCTGGGCTTGGGTTGGGGTTTATAACCAATTCGTTCATTAATCATTTGTTCCCGGCTCTTGGGGTCACTGCTGAGCCCCATGGCTCCTTCTCCATCACTGCCTCCTACAACATCCACATCTTCCTTCTGTTTCTTACGGGTCTGCAAGCATAAAATTTTTAGGATTTAAAACATTTTTTAAATTAACCAAATGTGTATGTAGCACTTATCATGTACTAGATGGGCTGGGTTAAAGGACAGGGTTCAGGACTAATGAAGAAAAAAACCAAAATCCTAAGTTTAAGATAGTTATGGGTACAAGAGAGACATTGGCATGCAGTGATAAAAGACAGAACTCTTTCTCTCCAGGATGTCATGTCACAGCAAACAGACTATGACTACATAGGGAGATCATGGCTATGACAGAGGAAGGCCCACACTGCCATACTCCAGGGTGGAAGAGTTGGGGGTGTGGTGGAGGAGGTTCGGAGCAGGAAGCTGCACCTGGAAAACATGAGAGCAGTGAGGGGGACCAAAGGGTGTTTCAGCAAATGCACTATTCAAGACAATGCACGGAAAAATAATAGGACAGTAAAACAACCATCAAAAATCTACAGCCTGACTGACTCCACGAGGCTACAAGTCTAGAAAGTTTTATGCTTAACAAAAGTCTGTTTGGGGGCTTTGTTTTGATTTATTTTTTATTTTTTTTTAATTCCTGGTACCACTCCACAACTTACAGGGCAAAATTCATGATGTAATGAAAGGGGGAAAAAAAGCTGCAACAGATACAAGACCTTAGTGTATGTGGAACTGACCCTACCCTGCATTATTGAACAGCTGCTCTTGATGCTACTGTGGTCTGACAGTCCTGAACAAGGGGTTCCTGTTTAAACTGCAGTGACCTGTCTGACTATGGGCCATTATTCTTTCTGTGACAGATTTTTACAGTTTCTCTAATGCATTTGGGACAACTATCTCCAACTAATTTGTAGCATTCCTGACAATTCTCCCTTTCTCTCCTAAGAACTGCAGCCCTTTCTGCTGTGTTCAGAACCCTCTGCTACCATATCCAGCACCATAGGGACTTGCTTAGGGAGCTTCTTCCACCAAAATTGTCCCCTTTTGTAGGTCCATAATTTTTCCACTATAATTTCCAAAATCATTAGAGTTCCCATCACCCACCATAGTTACCACTTCCAAAACTTCCTCCACTGTAACCATCGTATATCTACCACATCTGCTACCTGGGTTTCGTATCTCCACAGCCTTCTCTACTAATATAACCAGGACCACCTCCAACTCGGTGATAGCCACCATGACATCCTCCATGACTCCCTCTTGCTGCCACCACCTCCACCATGATAATCTCTTCTTCCACCAAAGTTTCCGCCATAGTCAAAAGTACTTCCACCACCTCCAAAGTTTCTTCCATGGCCCCAAAAGTTGCTAGATCTGCATCCCTGATATCTTTGTGATTCAGCAGAATGAATCTCTTGTTTAGAAAGGGCCTTTTTCACTTTACAATTATGTTCACTAATAGTGTAGTATTCCTGAACAACTTCTACCAGGCTCACAGAATCCTCTCTAGAAATAGTCTTTGGTTCTGCTTCATATACATGAGCCTTGTATGGTCATACACACATCTCTTAATCCACTTTTTTTTTTTAATTTTCTTAGTTGTAGATGGACACAATACCTTTTATTTTATTTATTCATTTTTATGTAGTGCTGAGAATTAAACTCGGTGCCTCACGTGTGTGCTAAACAACACTCTACCACTGAGCTACAACCCCAGCCCCTCATCCACCTTTTTAACACAAGGGGAAGTCACAAAACCAAAACTCTTGGAACATTTTATTTGGGGACATCTCATTACCAGTACAATCTGTGAGTATGCCTCATTTCTCCAAATGTTCTCAAATTATCATCTGTACTCTGAAAGAAAGCTTAGACCACCAACAATTTTCTCAACTGCTCTGGTTCCTTTGGATCCTGTCCCTTCCCTCTCCAGGGGCAGCAGCAATCAGCATCCTGGCCTTGGGGCAATCAGGTGGCAGTTTTACTGCCATTTTGAGATGAGACTTGACTCTTTCAACTCAAGTTCAATATAGGACGAAGAGAAAGAAGCCAGGCTTCATCCTGTTTTCAGAAAAAGGTTTGGCTCTGAAACCACAAGTGACTAAGGATTCATAAAGGATGTCTTAAGTTTGATCATTTTCAAAAAGAGACTAACAATTATGCCCAAAGTACCACCACCTAACTGCAAAGATGATATTAGATGATGATAACTTTCTCTAAAGCAGAAAAAAAGAGGTTTAATTGGAGTTCCTTACTAGGAGAGCAGCTCAACTGCTCAAATCCCTAGATTGACCACCACTATATGCCCCCTGCTGATGAACTGTGAGCACTTAGCTGCCAATATCAAAGTATTACAATGAATCAGATAACATAGGGTGTTAGAGTTTGTAAACAAGTCAAAATAACACCTGACATTTTGCCAGGGGAATGTTAAAGTTCGTAAACAAGTCTGGATGGTGCCTGGCAAAATGCCAGAGGGAGTGGTTTGAGAAGTAACAAAAACAAGCCATTAAGTGTGGAGATTCCTTATTGGTTGACTGATGTATCTAGTTTATGCTAATTAGATAAGCTGTATGGAATGTATAAATACTGCTCCTGTCCTGCAATAAAGGGCTCCCACTCATGCTGTATCAATGCACACAAGTTGTTCGTCACCCCCCTGTTATTTTGCTGCAGCCGGACTGCGGCAATAGGGATTGAATATTACTAATCTAAAATGTTTGGGTCTTAAAGAGTTTTGGAATTCGGAGGTTTCCAAATTTTGGAATATTCACATAAATTATACAGGTTGATCATCCCTAATCCGAAAATCCCAGATCTGAAATACTCCAATATCTAAACTTTCCTTTTCCTAACATGAACACTAATCTTCCAGAATCTAGAGTCATGCTAGTGTAATCAAACTTAATTTCAGTAAAAAGTAAAATACCAGTTTTCTATTGGTTTCATTTTCGTTTAGGGCAAAATTGTCCCTCCTTTTTAAGTTGCTCTAAAACAGGTCAAACCTACTAGATAATTGCCTTTAGAGGAAGATTAACTCAATGGTGAGCTGACTCTGCAAAGTCAAAGTTCATATGTTAGCATTTTATGAGATTCATTACAACTGAATTTTATACCGTTCTTAAAATTTACCTCCAATAATACACTATCAATATAAATTCTTAAAAAGAAAAAAAAAAAACAAGATGATATCTGGAGAACACTAAATTTGCTGGGATGAAGAAAGGGGAAAAGAAACCTGATACTAGTCTTAATATGAAATTGTATACAATTCACAATAGCTAAACTGTGGAACCAATCTAGATGCCTTCAGTGGATGAATGGATTTAAAAAAAAATGTGGCATATATACACAATGGAATTTTACTCAGCAATAAAAGAGAATAAAATAAAAGAGAATAAAATCATGACATTTGCAGGTAAATGGATGGCATTGGAGAAGATAATGCTAAATGAAGTTAGCCAATCCCAAAAAAACAAATGCCGAATGTTTTCTCTGATATAAGGAGGCTGACTCATAGTGGGGTAGGGATGGGGAGCATGGGAGGAATAGATTAATTCTAGATATGGCAGAGGGGTGGGAGAGAAAGGGAAGGGACAGGGGATTAGCAAGGATGGTGGTATGTGATAGACATCATCATCCAAAGTACATGTATGAAGACATGAATTGGTGTCAACATACTTTATATACAACCAGAGATATGAAAAATTGTGCTGTATACATGTAATAAGAATCGTAATGCATTCCTCTGTCATTTATTTTTTTTTAATTTTTAAAAAAATGAAATGTAAACAATATACAGTAAGGTCAACCATGTTCATGGATACATGGAAGTGATAACATCCCCTGCCACATAATGCAAAATATCTAATAGGACAGCAAATGAAAATAGACTTGAAATAAGCCCTCTTTTGGGAACAATTACAGAGATGAATATACTAATTCTTGCCTTCAACAGGTATACAGCCAACAGTGGAGAAAACAGAAAAGCAGACAATTACAATGAAGAGTGATAGTACCTATAAGAGAGATCAGTACCAAGGGAGAAGGCTGAACTTAACCCAGCTGGGGACTGGAATGAGCTGAGTCAAAAGATGAGAAGGAATTAGCCTGACAAAGGACAAGGGCATTTCAGGCAAAGAGAACCCAGTGTGTATAGGCACTGAGATTCAAGTTAAAGATAACCTGGCAGTGGAAGATAAAGTGGAGAGATAAATAAAGACCCAGTCACAAAGGGCCTCACATGCCACACTAAAGAATTATGACTCTGTCCTGAAAGCCAATGAAGAATTTAAGTTTTATTAGTAGACATCAAATACTGTTTGGCAAAATCACATTTAAAAATACATATTAAGTTCCTCCTATATGCTAGATGCTGGGAACACAATGATGAAGAAGATAGGCATGATTTCTTCAATCAAGATTTCGAATATTAAATAATTTTATAATAAACAATAATTGCAAATTATAAGATTTGCTATGAAAAAAAAGTATGGTGCTTCTTGAGACCCAAATGAGATGAAGGTAGTAGGGACAAGAAGGATATAGCTGACTTAGGTAGGGTCAGATGAGGCCTCTCGGACCAAGTGGGGGAAACAGACTAGGACTGGAAGAAAGGGAGCACTCCAGGCAAAGGAATTAATATATGCCAAGGCCATGGAAAGGATCGATTGTTTGAAATATTCAAAAAAGATGCAAGAAGCCATTGTGTTTAGGATATAGAGAAACAAGGCAAGAGATGAAACTGGAGAGGAACTACAATGTACAGAACCTTACAGGCCCACAAGAAAGAATTCAGATTTTATTCCAAATGCAGGAAACCACTGAGGAGTTTTAAAACAAAGAAAGGCACATCCTGAAAAGAAAATTAAAGATTATTCTAGATACCTGATAAAAAAATGGATTATAAAAAAATGGGAGTAGAAAGACCATTTAGAAAGCTACTAAAAATCTGGGTGTGGTGCCACACGCCTATAATCCCAGCTACTCAGGAGGCTGAGGCAGGAGGATTGCAAGTTTAAGGACAGTCAGAGCAACTTAGTGAGACTGTCTCAAAATAAACTAAAAAGGGTTGTGAATGCAGCTCAGTGGTAGAGAGCTTACCCAGCATGCACAAGACCCTAGACTCAATCCCCAGTCCTAAAGAAAAAGAAAAATAAAGCTAGCTATCTTCTAAAATTGTACAGGGAGAGATGGTTATTGGGTTGTAACTGCGGAGATGAAAAGGTAGACTCTAGATGTCTAGAATCAGACAATTTACAGACAGATTGAATTTAAAGAATGAGGGAGGGCTGGTGTTGTAGCTCAGTGGTAGAGCGCTCGCCTAGCACGTGTGAGGCCCTGGGTTCGATCTCAGCATCACGTAAAAATAAATAAAATAAAGGTATTGTGTCCAACTACAACTTAAAAAAAAAAAAAAAAAAAAGAATGAGGGAAAAGAAGGACTCAAAAATGAGCACTCAGTTTCTGGCCTCAGCAACTGGACAGACACGCAATGGGATGACTGGTTTGATAGAGAAATCGAGTTCTGTCTTTTTTTTTCTTTTTAACATGTTAAGCTCAGTAGGCTGAATGAATAATGACCTCCAAGGCTATCAGTCCCTGATTCCTAGAACCTACAAATTTTATCTTATCTGAAAATAAATAAATAAATCTCTGCAGATATGATTAAATTTAGGAACTTGAGATGGAGTATCCAAGTGAACCCTAAAAGTAATTACATATATGCTTATTAAGGGAGGCAGAGGGAGACTTCACAAACAGAAAAGAAGTGGGAAATGTGCCAGGGATACAAGAATGGAGTGAGGTGGCCACAATGGAGGAACACCAGCAGCCTCCAGAAAACAGAAGAGCCAAGACAGTGATTCTCCCTACAGCCTCTAGAGGGAGCATGGTCCTGCCGACACCTTCCTTGATTTCAGCCCAATCATACTGACTTCAGATCTGTGGCCAATAGAACTGCAAAGAACAAATTTCTGATTTCAGGCCACCCAGTTTGTAGTACTTTGTTACAGCAGTCACATTAAATTTAAGATGTCCACAAATCATTCAAATAGACTTCAAATAAGTATAAGAGTCTGAGGTTCAGAAGTTAGTTACTGTTTTAAGTATTTCCTAAGGGTTTGAAAGTTGTATTCTTACCTCCAAGTCCTTCCGAATGCTCTCAAACTCTTCAATGTCATCAAGCTTCAGTTCCAGGCGTGTTGGTTTCCTTCGCAGCATACTGAGATCAACACTAAGACAGACCCGATGAACTACTGAACTATTTTCAACTCTGTTCAAAAATGGCAGAGAGGAAGGAAAACTGCAGGTGATAAGTCTCAGCTACAAGTATAAAATCAATTTGTAAGCATGCACACTAAGGTGAATGGAGGTATTTTAAAAACTCATTTTGATTTACACGTAGACTTATAAATTCTTCAGGTATCTAATTATACCATTTTTACTACATGAAGAAGATCTACAACCCTATAATTCCAAAACACTCTTTCTGAAAGAACTTACAACAGCAAACAAGCTGCCTATGATAGAGAATTCTTGGTAGCAATCACTTGAATCTAGTGCTCCAGTCACATTTAGGAGCAGTATGGTGGCATATACCTGTTGCTCCGGTTACTCAGAACTAGTTGAGCCCAGGAGTTCAAAGCTAGCCTGAGGAACATAGCGAGACCCCATCTTAAATAAATAAATAGACAAAGGTAACTAGGACATCCTAATTGGGTATCCTTAGGGGCAGAGTGAATACACCATTAAATTTAATCTGCTCTACATGAGAATCATCAGAGATTGTGATACAAAAGTCAGTTTGCCGGGCTGGGGTTGTGGCTCAGCGGTAGAGTGCTCGCCTGGCACGTGTGAGGCCCTGGGTTCGATCCTCAGCACCACATAAAAATAAATAAAATAAAGGTATTTTATTAAAAAAAAAAAAAAAAAAAAAAGTTTGCCAAATCTCACAGAAACGTAAACTCACCAATTCACAAGATTATCCTCAGAATCTAAGGAAATCTTAAATGGATAAGTCATTCATTAAACAAACTCTTCCTGTGCTCCAGCTACAGACTTGAAAGGCACAGTCGCAATCTGTGAGGAAAACAGATAAGAAAACAGGAAATTGCAACAGGGTATAATGAGAAACCTGATGACAGTAATTCAACAGCATCACACCAGCACACAAGGCAGGCCAGGGTACATGTGGTGCACAGGGACATTAGGTGAGGTATCTTGCAGGAAATGATGTTCTGGCTGATTTCTGAAGGGCAGGTAGAGAGAAAGTGCACATAGAGGCTTGAGAGGGCACTTCATGAGGCAATACCTGTGTTAACAAACACCATTTTTTGAAAAAAACAAAATACTCCCCTAGTTGAGATTAACATCTACTGAAACTATGGATAAATGTTTGAATAAAATGAAGGATACAAATAGAGAAAGGGAAACGAATTTTTCTTGAGCTCTGTGCTAAGCTTTTGCTTCCCCATTCTTTAAGTTCCTATTTAACACAAAAACTCTGTGAAGCTGGCAAAATCATCCCAATTTTACGGACACAGAAGTGGAAGCAAGCTGTTCATTATATACATAGGTCAATATAGTGATCATTAAATGACAATGATGTAAATGGCAGTCTTATTAAAGTACGTACAGATATAAATTACTATTAGATGTATCTAGGATGAAACAAGGGACTGTGAAGTATACAAAGGAAGAAACATTTCCTCCTCCCATGAGGCTCTGGACAGTTACAGGTGATATCATCAACACAAAACACTGACACGACTTTTCAAATTATTCTGTACTAAATCAGATACTGTCTTCTACCATATTTCAAAATAAAGAAAAGGTAGGGGAAGCCAAAGCCCAAAGGAGATGGGGAAGGGATGCTTAGAGGGAAAAAAAAAACAGCTGGGGGTTGGGGAGGGGGAGTGAAACCTTGCCACGAGGCGGCAGTATAGAGTAATAGTTAAAGCGCAGGCTGTCCTCGCGAAGGCCGAGGTTCCCATCCCACGACTTTACCTACCCTGAACGATTAGCGCCATTTCTCACTGGATCTTAGTTTCTGTCTATACTCCGTCGTGTAAGTTAATTGACGTAATGCACTATAAGCTTCTCGAACATAAATTGGCACTTAGCAAAGCGCTCAAAAAATAAAAAGCTATTATTTTTATAACTATTCCAGGGAGTAGGGTTGGGGAGGGAGTTTGTCCAGTTCCTCGAACAGGAGCATTTTGAGACTGCCCCCCACGCCCCATACAGGGATAAAAACCTTGTGTCGTTCATCCCTGGCGCCCCAGCAGCAGCGGGGCACTGGGCCGTACAGAGAGCTGCACGCAGTTTACCTGAAGCCTTCTTACCCATCGTCTCATTCTCTATCCGACACAAAGAACAGGCTGAACACAACAAAACAAAACCAACAACAAAATCAGGCCGAAGCTCCTCCGCCACGTCTTTATTTTACTCCGGCGCTAGAGGGCCCTTCCAGCTTCATCTCGCTGCGGCCCAAATCCACCGCGAATTCGCCCAGCTCCGTCCGAGGAGCTCCGGGGAGGACTTCCCGACATCCCTCCTCCCGCAGCTGCAAAGTTGCACTCAAGCACTCAAGAGCGGGTTTCCATGGCAACATGCTCCTGGGCTCAGAGACCACCGAAAGCCTCAGATAAGCCCGGGCACCTAGATAAACTCCAGAGTTCAGCCCGGAACCACGCGACTCCGCGCACTTACCTCTTTCCAAGCTTCGGCCCCTTCCCGGAACCTCGTCTCCCACCACGAATCTGGTGCGGAGTCCGCAGAACTACACTTCCCAGCCTGCTCTGCACCTCTCTTCACGGAGAACCTCGTCTTCCGCGAGCTTTCCTCGGAGGCTCTACGGTCACGCCCCCTTCCCATTCGGCCAGAATCTTTGCTACTACGACTCCCGTCATGCCCCGAGAGCTTAGGGCGCTGCGTCGGCTCTTGACCCACTTCCGGCAGGTGACGCAATTCCGCTTTGCTGGGCGCGCGGTGGACGGTCTGAAACCTAGAGCGCGGCTTTCGCTGGGGCTTGGCGGCTCCTGGGCCCGGCATGGCTTCTTCACGAGCTTCCTCCACGGTACAGAGCTCGGGATCTCAGTTCACTGTGGCAAGGAGCCGAAGAGGGTGGGGTCCTTATGGGAAGGGGCCGTTAGGGAGCGGGCTGAGGCCGTGGAGGGCCGAGGAGGAAGGCTGCTGGACTCTGGTATCCTGGAGAGCCCAGCAGCGTTTTCCTGGACCCCAAGAGCTTTCATGTGCTATGTGGCTCTTGCATCTCTCGCATTACGCCCCGAACGGTAAACACTCCGACTGGTCTAAAAAACGGTGCCCTGGAGCGAGGAATGCTCTGGCCAAGAGTTACGTCCTTGGAATTGTAATGAGGCCTCCTAACTCATATTCAATCTGAAAACATTTGAAATGTGAAAATCAGTAACGTTGTAACTTGTTTCCCTTTAGCACCGCATTGGTTTTATCTGTTACCCTTGATATTTCTCCAGTGATGATCAATAAGCCCTGGAAGAATCAAAAAACCTATTGCATTTCAAACAGAATGAAGTAGGCATGTTCCAAAGCAGATCTTTGATTAAAAAAAAAAAAGTCACCAAAAGAACTTAACTAGTTTGTTTTGTTTTTTTATCCACCTCTTATTTCCTATCGGGCAGATTTGAGTGAGAGAATAAAACACCCTCTCCCACCCTCGCAAATCAGTGAAGAACATCTTAACTAGTGCTGAAGCTGCCCTTTGGATTTTAGAGGAAACAGTATTGATTGACGCTCAGGATGAGCATCATCCTTTGGGAAAGCCTGGTAAATTTCTAAGATTGTTTTAGGTTAACCCAACCTTTTGATTTAACAGGCACCCAAAACTAAAGCACCCGACGACTTAGTGGCTCCTGTTGTGAAGAAACCACACATCTATTATGGAAGCTTGGAAGAGAAGGAGAGAGAACGTCTGGCCAAAGGAGAGTCTGGCATTTTGGGTAAAGAAGGACTGAAAGCAGGAATTGAAGCAGGAAATATTAATATAACCTCTGGTAAGATGCAAATTCCAAGTCCATCTTTACCTTCGTGGCTGCAGTTTTCTGTAATGAATGTAATGAATACCTTCCCAAACTTAGCACTCATTTTATAATGAAAAAAGTTCAGTCTTTACACTTGCATCTGTATATTTGTGCTTTGCCTGTCCTTCTTGGCAGCATCCAGAGATTTTGTTTAAAAACAGTTTTTCTTCCACTAATTATTATTAGTTATTTTATAAGTTTATTCAGTGTGTTTTTGGGTTCATATTGATTCTGTTTATTTTCTGGACATCTAACAGTTTGAGCATTAGTTTGAAACTAAAGTTGTTAAATAATATCCGTTTTACTTTTCCTGTTATTACCCCAACTGAAATAACTTTTTTAAATTAAAAAGATAATAGTTACTTTTATTTTAAAGATCAAACTATGAAGTAGAAAATCCTGTATTTCTTTTTAATTGAATGAATTTCTTTTGAGAATTTTAAAGTAACTATAAAAATACATAATTTTTTTCTGTAAATGAAACCATAATATATAAACTTGTTTTGTAGCCAGCACTTTTCACTCTATATATTATTCGTGATATCTTTCCATGACAGTAACAAGAATTCTACTGTATTTTTAAGATAAAATTATATCTATTTATCATAAAGTCAGACAGTACAGGGGTATAAGAAGAAAAGAATCCTCTGCAGGAAGGACTTTGTCAGGTTTCTCATCCTTCCACACTTTTTCTACATCGTATATATTAGTGACTTTTTTTCTTTTTTTAACTTTTCTGCTGTTTTTAAGACTAACTGCTTCATTATTGCACCTCACATTTTTCATTTAGATGTACATATTTGGTGCAAGTTTAAAAAATTAGTTTCTAGATTATCCAAAAAAGCCTTATAAAAGGGAATTTTATTTTCCTGGTAATTATTTCCGGTTTACTAATTAATATTTGTAAGTGTTCCTGTACTGGGACTGTTCTTAGCAAATAGTCTTAGCAAGTGTTAAAATAATATTTCTAGTTCACCTTCTGATTAGAAGGCTAGTAAACTCATTTGCTAAAGATGTTCTGTACTCTTTCTGATCTCATCTAAACTATGTTTATAAACTGAAAATGGTAAATTATAAAGTGTATAATAGGCATTTACCTCTCTTTAGGGTCATATACATACTTTGTTAAAAATTATTTCTTTCTCCTTATTTAAAGAAGGTCTGGTGAGGACTGGGGTTGTAGCTCAGCGGTAGAACACTTGCCCAGCACGTAGGAGGCGGCCCTGGGTTTGATCCTCAGCACCACATAAAAATAAATAAAAGACGTTGTGTCCAACTACACCTAAAAAAATAAATATTAAAAAAAAAAAAAAAAAGAAGGTCTGGTGAGTTGCTAATATTGCATATTCCTTTTGTAGGAGAAGTATTTGAAATTGAAGAGCACATCAGTGAACGGCAGGCAGAAGTATTGGCTGAGTTTGAAAGAAGGAAGAGAGCCCGGCAAATCAATGTTTCCACAGACGACTCAGAGGTCAAGGCTTGCCTTAGAGCCTTAGGGGAACCCATTACACTTTTTGGAGAGGGCCCTGCTGAAAGAAGAGAAAGGTGACTTTTCTAAATATGTACTTTTTTTTTTTTTTAATTCATCACGGGGTTCTAGTTGCAAATCCAGTTGATCCTCTAGCTGAAACTTTAATAGAATTCTCAGTGTTATCAATATTTTAAGTTGTTTTTATATAGCTTTAACCCATAATCTGATTTTAGGCCAATTTTTACTCCAATATCAGCTTTCCTTTGTAGTGTGAAGAAGGTGCTAAGACACTCCCTTCCCACCCCAGTATGAAGTTGTGAGTTGGATAAACAGTTGTTGTTGAGCTTTGAAAATTTACACATCAAATATATTCTATGTCAGTGACACAAAACATAATGATATATATTTTGGGATATAATTACAGAAGCACTATCCTTGAATAATGCTCCTCTTGTGATATTAAGGTTGCGCAGTGTCATAGTGATATGCACTTTTGAGGATTTTTCTCTTGTCTCTGTATCCATAAGGAACCATCTCTCCCCTCTATCATCAGGCTTCTTATAGAGATGGTTTGTATTTACTCTGTTTATTTAAGGCCCTTACTCCTTACTTTCCAGCCCCTTGCAAAATGATTGACCCCTAACACCTTGAAATTGCTCCCTAAGATCCCTAACCCATCTTTACTAAGACTAGCCCTAGTACACTGCCTGTCACTCTGCCTGAAACTCTCCCTCTCCTTTATTCCCATACAACCAAATCCTTCTGATTTTCCTCCTATTTCTCTACCTCATTCTCGCTTTTTCAGCCTCTTTTCCCTACCTAACCTTTATAGGCTGCAGTTCTTTGTCCTTATCCTATGCTCACCCTTGGAGATCAGTTCCACTCCATGGCATCATTTACTATGTATGTTCTGCTGACTTCCAAAAATTTCTGTCACCTAGAAGTACTTCCTACAAGTACTTCAAACTTGAGACAGCTTAATTGACATTTGTGGCCCACTCTTCTATTCCCCTTACAAATGGCACTATCATTCCCACAGTTCTCATTTGAAAACCCACCATACCTCCTTTGTTATCAGTCAGCAAAACCTAGTCTTTTCTATTTGGGAATGTACCTCCAGTCTATCTGTGTTCTTTCACATCTAGATAGTTGGTGACAGCTGAAAATGTGTTAATTGTTTGCTTAAAAACCTACAGTTTCTGGGCTGGGGGTATATAGCTCAGTGGTAGTATACCTGCCTAGCATGCACAAGGCTCTGTTTTAATCCACAGCACAGGGGTGGGTTGGGGGGTCCTCCCATGTTTTCTTCTTATACTTGGAATAAGAAACCTCTAGTCATGACCAAAAAGGTCTTCAAACTCACCTTGTGCCATTCTTCCCCAATTTTCTAGACAGCCACATTGGCCCTCCTGAGTACTCAAGCTTTTTTCCTGTTTTCTACTAATCTTTTCTCTTTTTGTTCATACTTTGCCTTTTAGAGTTCTTTTATTCTTTTGTTTCAGCACAAATGCCACCTGTTCAAAGAAGCTTTTCCTAACACCTGATCCTTGCAAAGTGACCCCACCAATATTTTCTATCAAGTGTGTTATTTTTTTATGACTCAGAGAGTTTCTACAGTAATACACAGTGTGATTTTGCAGCCTTTATTCTTCCCTTTTAATCCATTCTCCATACTTTTCTAGGGATCTTCCTCAAATGTAAACTCTTCTTAGAATAACACTAACAGCTCTTTGTGACGTGGCTCCTACTTAAATTTCCTCCTTGTACCCCATGCTTCAGCTCTACTGAACTGTTTGTGATTCCGAGCTTAACGTGGTTTTCTTACCTCCAGGCCTTTACATTTGTTTAACTCTCTGCCTCAACTCTCATTTCTCCATGTTTTGGGGGTGTTTTTATTTTTTATTTTGCAGTACTAAGGATTGAACCAGGGATGCTCTACCATTGAGCTACACCAGCCCTTTTTATTTTATGTTGAGACAGGGTCTCACTAAGTTATCCAGGCTAGCCTTGAACTTGCAATTCCCTTGCCTCAGCCTCTTGAGTCACTGAGGTTACAGGTGTGCAGCACTGCACCCAGTTCATTTTCCCATTTTTGACCCCTTGGCCTGACTACTTGAAGACTCAATTTAGATAACATTCTATCTGTGAAGCTTTCCCTGGTCCAAATAGCTGGCTTAGGTGTCCCTTCTATATTCTAATTTAGCATTCTGCTCTTACTGCTGTCATGATACTTAAAATAAGAAACTATATCTCCTTGTTACTTTCTGTCTTCCCCCCACAGCTATGCTACTTGGAACCCAGAACTATTTCTTTGAATTATTGTTTAC